TTTTTTTTTTTTTTTTTAAATGTGGATAAGTGGGCTGGCTGTCTTCTGACTCGTATATTGACAGATTTGTGGGTTAACCTTTCCCCTCGGTTTTCAGTGAGGTGGTAAGTCATCAGAATCTTGCTACTTTGCTGGAGACGGCGATGTCCCCTAAGAATCCTGTTGGACTGTTTGGATCCTAGTCTGAATGTGTAGGATACGCGTGACCCCCAAATTATCTTGTAAACTGAACCAGTTTTCATCGGCCATCCGAGACGTGTGGCTATGTAAGGGGCTCCAGGATTGCCTGGTAGGGTCCACATGTTGCACAGAAGGATGTTTGCAAAGTTGCTTTCATTGAGCATTGTCTTTTTAGTGCATCTGGGAAGCTAAATAAATCCATCCAACACGGTTCTCTTTTTGTCTTTGTTTTCAAGATTCGCAAACCAAGGCCACAGAGAGAGCGTGCTCAGTGGGATATTGGTATTGCCCATGCTGAGAAAGCATTGAAAATGACCCGAGAAGAAAGGATAGAGCAGTACACCTTCATTTATGTAGATAAAGAGCCGGAGGAGGCTTTGCCCAAAGCCAAAAAGACTGCTGCCTCTAAAACAGAGGCTAAAAAGACTCGGCGCCCTAAGCCAACAGTGAACACTCAGCCAGAGCAGACCAATGTGGTAACAACCTCACCCTCAATATCAAATACTGAGGTGCGAAGGCAAAGTCAAAGGAGGCAGTCGAGCGTGGAAGAAGAGGAGCCGCCTCCTGTGAAAATAGCATGGAAAACAGCTGCGGCTAGAAAATCCTTGCCAGCTTCAATAACCATGCACAAGGGAAGCTTGGATCTCCAGAAATGTAACATGTCTCCGGTGGTTAAAATCGAACAGGTTTTTGCTCTTCAGAATGCTGCTGGGGATGGAAAACTCATTGATCAGTTTGTGTACTCGACCAAGGTACGCCTTATTTGCACATCAACCTTTCTCTCTGGGAATAACACAAACCTACAGTATTTATTGTGGGGCTTAAATGTCAGCTTTCAAGGTGCATTGGCTCTGTGTAGGCTGCTTTCATTGGAGATCACATGAAAGCTGTCTAGCCCTGTTTTCTTTGCTACAGCCCGTAGCTGTACTAATCTCTTAAAACTGCGTTAACAAAATAGGCCAGTGCAACCGAGAGTTCCCAGCAAAGAAAAAAGGAACTGGTATTTCCCACTCTGGCTCTACTGGCATAAATTCTTACAAAGCCATTGAACTATTGCCAGCAAGTTTTAAAGGGGTGGGTACCATAAACTACTTGCGTACCTCTAGTTAGCCATATAACATCGCGTTTGAGGTGCTTAGCTGCTTTGGGTTAGACGAGACTTGTATTTGTGCAACAAGCACGATTACAAAAGTGTGACTAGAGGGTTCAAAGTACAAATTAAATCTTGCATTAAAGATGTTCTTAAATGAGATTTTACCTCGGACTCCTTCAGGCTAACAGCAGCCTCTCACAGTCAGCCTGAGGAGCAGGATTGGTGCTACATTTCTTCCTTATTCTTCTGCCCTTTCTCCTGTGAGGTATTTATCTACATTTAAAACAATTTCAAGGACCCCTTGTGTGGGGATTCCCAGGCTGGGAATAAATTCAGTGAAGTCACTGCTCCCATTCGGTGACAGTGGTGCCTCCAGTATTTCTTGCAAGAGAGAAGTGGATGCTATCCGAGATGGCGTAGGGTTCCACGAAGGAGAGCAGTTTGCTTATCAGCAGCATCACACGCGCATCCCCAAGCTCCAAGTGTTGAATCTTGACATTTGTAGATTTTGTTGTGTTGCAGTAATTGGCCTGATCAGGTAGTGCCTGACTTGTATCTGTGTGTTTTTTCTTTTTTCTTTCCTCTCTTTTTTCCCCCCTCCTCCTTAAGGGTATTGGTAACAAAACTGAAATAAGCATCAAGGGGCAAGACAAGCTTAATTCCACATCAAACCAGAGAAACGAGAAAGCAACTGCACAAAATGTATCCTCTCCTGAAACAACTTCTGGGTCAACAGGTAGGCCAAGGTTTGGACTCCTGGGCTGAACTTATGCCCACCCAGCTTTTCAACAGGTTGCCCAAGTCTGAGTTTGCTCATGGAACTGAAAAACATCACAGATGCATTTTTCTTTATATAATTGCAGTAATGGCTGGTGGCGTGGTCCAGAGATGACACGGTTGTTTGGTGGGGGAGGTGGCCCTTAAAGCTCTGAGAATTTAAGCCATGGGTGCAGTGCCCTTAGCAGAATCAGTTAGTATCTTGGGCTTAAGTGAAAGATGCTTGGCCGCTCGGAGAAATCAAAATGCGTCCTGGACGGATGCGTTTAGAGAGGCCAGATGGGGAGCAGTGGGTAGCAGTCTCTCACTACGGAGCTGGTAGAATGGATCTGCTGGTAAAGCAGTATATACTGGCTTTGGGCACCAACTTTCAAAAACAACAACTGCAACCCAAGGAGATGAAAACTGAATGGGCATAGTTCAGTTATTAGCCCAGCGTGAGTGCTGTTCTCAGCTTTGCTGTTTGTGTCTTAAGTAACCAAGGCAGCAAATATTTCAGTGCTACAATTAACCTAATCAGTAAAATGGGATAACACTTGCCTTTTCCAAGCAGTCTGAGAGCCTTGCAGTAAGATGCTGTGTAGCAAGTATTAAGGTGTCTGATAAAGAAGAATTTTTAGAGGCTGGCAATGGAAAACAGAAGGCCTAACTTAGTAATGCCCTAGGAAAAGAGAGTGAAAATTTAATATGCATGAGCACCTTTTGATATAAAAGCAGAAAACCATTTTTTGTTTTGTGCACTTAAGAAAATGGTTAAAGGGTTTAGGTTGGCAGGGACAGACTAGGCCCAGCCAGCAGAAAGTGTCGTTTTGAGGGCAAGAAATCATAGTATGGAGATAAATGAATATTCCTCTGGAAAAGACTGGAGGCTCTTGGGGAGAGAAATGACTAGAAAAGCACTTCCGTTTAAAATGATTCATGTTCCTTCTCTGGTAATGACTTGGTGTTTGAGCCAAACAGTCTTCATCCTGGACATGTAAAATGCATCTGATGTTGTGTGTGGATAATACGTTTATAATTATAGCATAGATGCAAGTGTTTGGAGTACAAGGCTCCAAAAACTTACGCTTAAGGCTTCAACTTAAAGGCTCCAGAAACGTATGTTTAATTGAGTAAAAAGTAGCTCTGGCGTTGGATGAGTATATGCTTATTTAAACTGATTGCTAGACGGTCAGTTGCATTTAATCTGGAATCAAAATTTGAGGTCTTTGAAGTGGTTTACTTGTTAAGGTTTCTTGTAGACATTTTTTAAAAACCTTTTCGTGTTATACGACGTCATTCTTGCTTCGGTTATTTGATAGCAAAGGATTCGATCCTGATATGATTAGCTGTTTTTGAAACACAAATACAACAAAATTAAACAAGAAACTTTACACAGTTCTGTCTACCTATGAACATGTTCAATAGTCCACCTAGTCCAGCTTCTGTGCAGGTGTAATTCTTATTTAGGTTTATCTTAAATCTGATGTTCAATGGACTCTGCCTTGTGACTTCTTCAGATAAGCATTAAGTACCTGGGACTTTTTGACTCCTATGTAAGCAAGCTGAGGTTTCACCTGTTGTTGACAGCAGCGGGGTTGTCTTACCAGGTGATTGCTGTTGTTCCTACAGTGTTTTTTTTTTTTCCTCACACCATTACTGCTACTACTATAGTTGTGTAGCTGCAGACAAGGTGCTCTGTAGTGTCTCCTTCCCTTGGAAACCAGGGGCATCACCTTTTACAAATCACAGTGATTTTTTTTTGAGGCATAGAGGTGAAAATTCTGAGCTGCTCATCTTTTCTTTTCTTTTTTTTAAGGCTTTTGGGACCACAAAACATCACCCATTAACTCATTTGGCACGTGAGCTTTATTTCGGTATATGCTCCAAACAGTTACTTTCAGAGTCGTTTCCAAAGCCAAGGCAATTCCTGGTTCCCTCTTATGCAACATAACTGCAAAGCCCTTTTTTCAAACTTATAGTCACTGGAACGTCAGAATATCTTTTATAGTCAAGTATTTTACAGAGTGACTCTGGGAGTCCTGATGCAGAGTCATCGGAGGTGAGGTAATTAATCTTTGAGGAGTGGGTGAGGTGCAGAAGTGATGGTGCGCATACCGCATCGCTTGAGCATCCCACTGGCAGCCAGTACAAAGTGGCATTGGTCCTCAAAAGCACTCTTGTCTGATTCAGAGCTTGTCCCAGCATAACTGCTTTTACTGTGTTGCACCTAGAAGGGAAGGAGGACTGGTGATTGGTTGAACTTGAGCTGTCAGAGTTGTCCAAAATGTAATGAATATCTTCAGTGGGTTGCACAAGCAAGATGAAGCTCCAGATGATAAGACTGCATAGCTGTACATTTCATGCAACCTTGTTAAACCGACACGTCAAGTTAATCAAAGCTTAGAATGTACAAGGAAAAGATGGAGTTCCTTGCTGCTGAGAATCCATTGAAGCACTTTCTTCTGGTATTTAGTAAGAGCCCACCTCCTTTTCTACCCGTGTCGTCATAACCAGAGGAGCAAGACAGACACCTGTGACCTCCAGTAATGAATCTACCTCTTAATAAAATAAAGCACTTTATGTACACAAGTTACGCTTCTAAACAAAAGAAAAAATACAAAGTACCTTCAAGTCCTCTCCTCTCCTGTTAACACCACTTGGAGATGAAGAACAAAACTTCTGCATATGGTGGAATAGAAAGTTCAGGCTTTGGACTTGAGTGCTGTGTCAACGGTCCACCTCTTCTTGTGTGCTTTGTTTCAAGAGCTGTGTTTTGTACAAGTACAGTGTGGCTGCTCCTTGGTTAAAGCTCTTTCAAAGTACTTTACTGTAGTGTGGAATATCGTTTTGGGTTTGGCCAGGCTAAAGCATAGTAACCCTCAGCCTTAGATTAGAGCTTGAGTTCCAGGTCGTAAATTTACATTTACTTAATCTGCAATTTTGATGCGTGTATTAAGATAGCATCACGTCCATTAACCGTTGTTTGTGTTCTTTTTTTTTTTTTCCCCCTCTCCTCAGCATCCTGAAATCCTTTTAGTAAATGTTTCAGGTTTCTAATTCAGTGCAGCCGCTGTAGCTTGTCTCTTGCTGAAACTTTTAGTAAAATCTAGAGTTCTGGTACAGGACTATCTTTTTTGACCGTGAAAGCTAAGTTCTGAATCTTCTGAAATTCTACAACACTTTAGATGACATGATGTTTCTTTAAATTAAGGATTTTCAGGATTATGGAGTTATTTTTCCTTAAATTATAGATACCTTCATAAGAAAGCCAAAGGCAAAGAAGAATGACCCAAGCAGAGCCTGAGACATGCCATGCCTAAACCTGTGTGCTCTAGCCTTTCCCTCCCGCTTTTTTTATCGGTGTCTTTTTTTGAATCCATGTTCTCTACACAGAATTAACGTGTTTTGTCTGCAACCAGGGCAACAACTGGCAGATAACTTTAAATTGATCTTTTAAAATGTTTGAGTTGTATATGCGAAGAAGAAAAAAGTCTTGAGTTGAGTAATGGTGTTGGAGAGCTCTTGCTGTACTGAAACTGGAGGAATCGCATAACAGAAACTCTTTTCCTCCCTTAGGTTCTGTAGAAAAGAAACAACAGAGAAGATCGATTAGAACGCGCTCAGAGTCTGAGAAATCCACCGAAGTTGTGCCAAAGAAGAAGATCAAAAAGGAGCAGGTTGGCTTCCTCCATGTAGAGAGTTAAAATATTTTGTATTCATAAATGTTGTGGCTTATATTGGTGCCTTTTTTTTATTTTTCTCCATTTCCCCATCGGGTTTCCTTTTGGACTATCCTTCATGAAATTCCCCTGTCAATACCATTGCTGTGACTCTGCTACTGGCATCTTCACAGTATCAGTCAGGCTTTGGATAATGGGAACTCAATGATGCAAGACCTCCTAATGAACCGTACATGTTTACTTTGAAATTTCTGTTGTGTTTCAGTCATTTCTATTTGATGGAATTGCCACCAGGTTCCTTCCTCTTCTTACTCTTGGTTTAGCTGCTGGTTTGTATTGAGATTTTGTTTTTCAAAGAGAATTAGACTGATTGATTTGACCATTGGAAAACGAACTTGCTACGATTTGAATTTAGCTTACAAATGATTAATACGATTTTTATATTGGCAGACAGAAAACAGGTCTTCTGGGATTGATTTTTTTTTTTTTTTCTTTGAGTAGAACTAACATGTATAGGGCACTTCT